GGACCCTGGGGTGGCTCTGGGCCCCAGGGGGCCTTTCTCTCGGGCCTGTTCCCTGCCCCACACCCCCTGTCTGAGGTCTGAGCCCCGCTGCTCTGAGTCCTTGGCCTCCCCCCAGGTCAGGACCAGAAATGCCTTTTCTGCCCCCAGAGACCTGCCTCCCTCCCGCCCTGGGCTGTGCTGCTCTGACCCTGGAAGTTCCTAAGGGACCAATAGGTCATCCCCCTGCCTCTGTCCAGGCTGGTGTCTGGGTTGTGTCCCTTCCCCCACCCCCGTGTCCTGTCCCTTCTCAGGATGGTCACCTGAGCCCTGCTGGAGGGTCCCAGGGTGGAAGCAAAGTTCCTGAATCTTCTCCCCCTTCCCTCAGACCCTCCAAAGACACACGTGACCCGCCACCCCATCTCTGAGCATGAGGTCACCCTGAGGTGCTGGGCCCTGGGCTTCTACCCTGCGGACATCAGCCTGACCTGGCAGCGAGACGGGCAGGACCAGACCCAGGACATGGAGTTTGTGGAGACCAGGCCCTCGGGGGACGGGACCTTCCAGAAGTGGGCGGCCCTGGGGGTGCCCCCTGGAGAGGAGCAGAGATACACCTGTGTTGTGCAGCACGAGGGGCTGCTGGAGCCCCAGAGCCTGAGATGGGGTGAGGAGGGGACGTGGGCACAGAGCCTCTTCCCAGGGAAGCAGGGGCCTCTGGGGGCTCCAGTGGGCTCAGGGCTGAGGCTTGGGGGTCGGGGTCTCACCCTCCCTTCCCCTCTCTTCCCAGAGCCTCCCTCTCAGACCCCCTTCATCATCATGGGCGCTGTTGTTGGCCTGGTTGTCCTCGGAGCTGTGGTGGCTGGAGCTGTGATGTGGGCGAGGAGGCGCTCAGGTGGGGAAGGGGGGCTGTGAGTTTCATGTCCCCCTGGGGTGTCATCCTAGGGAGACGTGTGTCCTGCTTCATTCATGGGAAGCACCATCCCCAGGCCTGGGATTGCCAGTGTGGGGCCCTGTGTGCTGACTTCCTGTTTAGTGAGGCAGGTGTGACACTGAGGGACACATCTGTCACCTGATGGGTCTAGTGATGGGGACCCGGCCCCAGCAGTCCCAGGTCAGAGGGCAGGTCCCTGGTGAGGACAGACCTGCAGGAGGGAGGTGGGTCCAGTCCCTGCACATGCACTTTCCTCAGGTTTCCTGACCCTGCCCTGGTTCTGTACAGACACAGGGTTCTGGGAACTTCTCTGGGCCCAGGACTAGGCTCCTTCAGGACCTCATGGCCCTGCCCCCTCCCTGGTCTCTCACAGGATGTTTCCTTCCTGCAGGTGGGAAAGGAGGGAGCTACGCTCAGGCTGCCAGTGAGTATGGAGGGGGTGCCCCCTGAGACCCTGGGACAGTGCAGACGGGAGCCCATGCAGACCCCACACCCATAGCCCTTCCTTTAGCCTCCTGTCCTGGGTGTCTGACCATGTCCCTTTGTGTCCACCCCAGGCAGTGACAGCGCCCAGGGCTCTGATGTGTCTCTCTCGNCGGGAGCCCATGCAGACCCCACACCCATAGCCCTTCCTTTAGCCTCCTGTCCTGGGTGTCTGACCATGTCCCTTTGTGTCCACCCCAGGCAGTGACAGCGCCCAGGG